CAATAGGCTTGATTAGTTCTATTGTTCATAGAGGGTCATGTGCCCCCTCACCTGACTTATTGGTTTGGATGCTGTGGTTCTTTTTAGGTGTCGTGTTATCTGTATGTTCCAAAGATCCAGTTCCCTGGCAAAAACAAAAGTAATATACTGTAGTATCAGGGTTCCCGCGGGTCCTTGAAATCCTTGAAAGTTTGTGAATTTGAAAAATGGATTTCAAGGCCCWGTAAAGTTTGTGAAAAYAGCCAAAAGTTACAYTTGCCCTTGAAAGTCCTTGAATGATTTTGGTGATTGAAATTCTCTATTCACATAACTGATTTTCATCATCTTTTAAAAAAAATTAATCCATCCACCATTAAACAGAGATGGAGACCTTCATGTCCAGTTGTCCTCCTCCTACAATGCTGTCATTGCAAGTATGACTCAGCCCCCTGTGAGCAAAAGGTGTGAATCAGGGCYCCAACGATACCCAACACAAMGAGGGAAAGAGAGACAAAACAAGGGGACTTTGAGCCCCGCCTGCATTCACTACATACTGTACACATAACACGACACCTAAGAACCACAGCATCCAAACCTATAAGTCAGGTGATGGGGCACATGACCCCCTATGAACAATAGAGCTAATCAAGCCTATTGTTAAGTGATGGCCCTCTTTTGCACATGACTAACCTGTTTGTCCATGTGGAGGCAGTGCTTATAAGGCTGAGTTCACCTGAAACTCATCAGATTGAAGACGTCTCTTGGAGGAGAGACGAAACGTTTCACTAAAGAAGAACCCATCCAGAGGAACTACTTATTTTTTCTTTTTGATTACTTAAGTACTGTAACACAGTAAATGTACTTTGTTACTATATACCACTGGTTCTTAATCTCATATATATTTACATTTTTAATGATAATACGTTCTGATATAAATCGTAAATACTTTTAATGTGTGGCTAATTAAAAATAATCTATAATTTGTGATCTTTTGTCAGGGACTCCTGAATGGTTTGAACTGAAAGTTGAACAATGAATGATTAACTTTTGGAGATAAAGATGCTTCAACAAATTTACCATAGAAAACACAAAATATACAGTACAGAACTCTGTCAAACTGATAGATATTGAGTTAATATTCAACATGATAATAGCTTAGTCATCCCCAACACATGCTGTGAGGTCTAACAGATCTCATCGTTTACAAAGTTGGACCAAAACGACCATAACTCTGTTCCTTCTTATCATGAGATGCGTTGGCATTTAAGATAGTGGGTGATRTGCATGCCATCAAGGGATGTTAGGCCTTTAATATTTTTATTTTCTTGTGGTACATGGAGTATGTTTTGAGAACGATGTATGGGCGGGTGGGGGAGAAAAACGAAAGCTGTGCTGCTGGTGCTGGAGTTCATAAAAACCCCAAACAGCTTCTGTGTTGACGGTAAACACTCAGCATGCACCGATCGTTTCAGGCTCACTGCAGCTCCTTGAGCTTCGTCACAATTTGTTGTTACCTGATAAAAAAAAAAATCAACTGTTTTTATTGTTGCTTAGGTTACTCATCTAGCACTCTGTTCTTCCTTTAGCATTCCTGCACTGTGACATAACCCAGGACACACACATGCACTGTATGCGTGTGTGTGCACCCACTCAGCGCCGATGCTGACAGCCTAGCTGAGAGTCCAACATCATCTTCAGAAGTGTGTTGACATGCCCCCACTTGACAAAGAGGCCTTTTTTATTCACTATGAGAGAAAATATGTTCTTACAAGCCTGAGATAATCTGAGCAACACAAAGGCTTTATCAAGGCTGAGATTGGGTTTAACTAATGACGTGTGCTGATTTTTGTGTCGCTGAACAGACTTGCATKTATCTGAGGGGAATACAGAAGAGAGGGAAACAATAGAATGTTCACAAGATTAGCATTTGATTCATTTTGTTGTTAAAGATGCCAACACATGAGAACTGAATAACTTTTATTATATGTGTTTAAAAAAAAGCATGCAGCTCAATCAGGCACAAAGTGTAAAAAAAGTTTTAAAAAAGCAGTGTAAGAAGAAATGTCTTATCAGATACAGAAATCTGCTTTTACCTTATAAAAAATGATGTAAGTTTGGTCATTTTCTAAACATTTCATCATTGCGTGTGAGGCCTCCTCTACTGCAAACCAGGCAGTGGACAGTCAGTCAATCAACCGAATGTTGTTTCTGAAGCACATTTTAAAACTAGCTCTCACTGAACAAAGTGCTGAACAAAAATTTAAATATATAAACAATCAAAGTGAGCTAAAATACACCAAAAAGCCACTTAAAGTAAAATAAAAAAACAGAAAATGAAGATGTTCTGCTGAAATGGAACTAAAAAATCATCAATTAAAAAACCAATGCATAGATTTGGACCAGAACTCATTAATGGTCTGAGCTGCTTTAAATTCTCAAATTAAATTCTCTGTGTCCGGCAGCAATGTAAACTCTCTCTTATGATAAAGTAGAATAATGTCTGAGCTGACAGAAGCAGATTAGGTCTTTATGTCAGACCCAGCTATGATCCATGTAGAGCTAAATGATTGTTAAAATAGGTGTTTGGAGGCATTTTTTAATTTATCTTTAGCTGACAAGACTCAGTGGCGGCCCCCCTCCTCTTTATAAACTGTGTAATTATCCCTTTCATTGCACAGCTTTCAGGCTACCTGATAGAAATCAAAGAGATGTGTCAATAGCTCTTATTAATGTGCTAATGTAGGTTAGGACCTGCAGTTAAATTACAATGAGTGGGGCTGAAGTTGCTATCGTGGTAGTCTGCCTGTCTGATCCCAGTGTGTCTGCAGGGCGATGGGGGCGTGACGTGTCAGCAGGCCTACAGCGGGGGACAGCCATCACAGGACAAGTCCTGCAGGGCGACTTTTCTCTGACCTCCATCTGCATACGGGCCGGGGAGCTGCTGAGTCGCCTCATCCCGAGCCGCTTGAATACGATCACACGTTAACGACCTTCACAAGTGAGCCGGCTGTCTTCTGTTGTTCTGAAAATGTGAGACCGTTGTTTGTTTTCTGAATTTAAAAGCGGCGGTTGTCAAACATGAGGCAGTCGGCGCTGTGGAAAGAAGTGTTTCATTTCTTTTTCAGGTAAACAAGCCAGGCACACGGCCGTCTGCATACATGTCAACACTGGGAGCAAGCGGCGGCCGCAGACGGAGTTCTCACCGAGGTCAGACTGTACAGGAAACACATGTCCTCTGTCTGCTGCCTGTTATTTTACAATGTCTTTTGTTGTTACTGCTGGTGACAGTCAATAATGTTTTGGCCTTTCTGTGTGTTTATGTGTCTGTTAGCAAAATATCACTAACCAAAGGAGAAATTTTAATGAAACTCGCAGAAAATAATCATTGGGTGCTCATCTACATATGATCAATTTTTTTTTTAGCTCTACCTGGTTCACCAAAGTCGCCACAATTAAACAAACTTGCAGATTTTTGAGCTAAAATCTGCTGTGGTAGTGGCTGAGAGTCTTCCCAATGTGTGCCTTAAATCAAAGTTTAACTCTGGCATGAAACACAACATTCAACATTTATTTTTAAATATATATATTTAGATTTATATACCTTTAAGGGGGGCATGGCATGCAAAATCCACTTTTTTAGCTGTTAAAAAGCTTTTGTTGTGACAATGGAGTCTGCAGAAAATTTGAATTTGGTCTCTCCTTGTGCTGTGTAGATATCTTTAAATTCAGTTTGGGTCATATTTTTTCAACTCATTCAATTTTCTCTATTTTCTTTGACATTTTCTGAACTACTACTTCAAATTATTTGCGACAGAACTGCCAAAAATAGGTCTGGACTCACCAACTACAATTTGGTGTTCTTCATTCTCCTCTGGCTCTGGGTCAGACTCTGGCTCCAACATGTAAGTTTGAATGGACAAGTCTTCCCTTGTTGACATCTTTTAATTCATTTGTAAAAAAAATGTTTCTGTGCAGTTATATAGTCATAAACTCCTCTATCAAACTAGAATGGACCACTCTGGAAAGAGGCAGCATCAAAATGAGTCGATCTGAGACACACCTTGGAAAAAARGGTGAAAGAGGGGTTTGTGGAGTTGCAAYAAGGAGGAATTCAGACCAAAGCTTGCAGTTCCGCTTTATATAGACCCCAACTGAAGGATTTAAATATGAAAAAGAAGGAATTAAAAGCACKATATGTCTACTTTAAGCATATTGTTCACAAATATAGCAGAAACCCATGGTACATGTTGAAGTATCCAAGGCTCGATCCTCTCCTACAATTAGACCAGGCCATCTATCCAATAAATATAATGAGGCTGAATCAGAGAGTTGGGCTGTTTTTAATGCTGTGTAATGGTATGAGCACTGACAGCATAATAGCCCCAGTTCTATCAACTTTTCTCATTACACAGTGGCGCACAGGCCTCGCCCGATCACTATGTTTAACCACCGCAATCATCCCGAGCCCGTATTATGGCGTAGTCTTTAATGAACAGCACGGTCATTAAGCGTTTAGGTTTAATGAAAAGAACCACCTGCCGAAGCGCACGGACGGACCTCYGAGACGAGCTGCCGTTTAAAAAAAAACTGATGAATTCTGCCACTCATGACCGTAATTAGTGCACTAATCATGTGTTTCTGACGGCATCTGGATGATGACCTGCACATGGGCGTTCCACCGGTTTACTTTTTAAATTGAGACTGCTTACCTGCAGGCTTTGTTAAAGGCAAATCAGCTCTTATGTTTAATATTTTGCGTCAAGAGACTATTTTAAATTGGTCTTGATCAGTAGTTTTGCAAGGTCTATGGAGCGGTTTTTTGTTTGTTTTAAATCAGATTTTATCTGGGTTTTTTTCCACTCATTTTCAGTGTGGTATCAGAACATTTTTAAAGTAATGGCCACTGGATGGGATTATGAGGCGGTCTGTATGCTTGGGTGCAAAGTAATCTAAAAGAAACAGTGATGTTTTCAAAGTTTTGCTCACATCTAAAAGCTTAAAGGAAGAATATGTGAAACGTCCGGAGACAATGCTGCCATTGTAACAAAATGAAGCTGCCTTGGCTCTGGAATGAAAAATCTGATCAGGTTTGTTGTTTCTGAGTAAAAGCCAGACTCATTCATCACTCAATGAAGGAAAAAAAACTATGGAGGGCTTCTCAAAGACAATGCCTCCTGCAAGAGAAAACGTCTTAAATCTATGAAATCGACGCAAAAACAGATTATTGTCATTGACCCCAAACGATGCGTTCTGTGTTCAGCACAGGGTTGTTCTTGCCAAACGTTCCCTCTGCCGCAGTTAGAGGGAAAAGCACCTGCATGTGGACGCATGTTTACAGTAAAGAGCGCTGGAGATCCACATAAGGGTCACATCAAGGGTCTTCCGAAGTCATTACCTTCCTGTTCAGCGGACACAAAGGTCTGCTTTTTCCTCAGGGCTGGTGACACAAAACATATCAGCCTGATTTCAAAAACACACAGAAGAAACTACACATTTTTACAAACAATAACGTAATTTCTACATTTTTCATAATTTTTCATTTTAAATAAACAGACCCCTAAAATTTATTTTGCCCTAAAGCTCGTTACCTTAAGGTGGATTTAATTGAGGCGACTCAAAGGGTTGACAGATTCTATTCTTCCACTCTATTGTTAAAAGCTTAGCTTTGTGTTATTGTCAGTACATTAGTACCATATATTCCCTCGGTGTGCGTTTGTTTTGTGCTGTTTGTCAGCTCCAGGCCTTGTTTCCACACTCTGCCCGTGTCATGATGAGCTCTTTGAGGCAGTGCCATCGCTTCAGCATTTTGAGCTGATTATTTTTGACGTCTGATGGCAAGTAGAGCCCTCCTCTCAGCGGGTTGTGCTTAAGAAGCATTCCTTTGTTAAGTGTTTGTGTCACACTTAAAGGATTACTGTTGGAGTCGCACAGAACCACCTATTTTGCTGATCTGGAGTAAACTCGAAGAAACCCGGTGAGAGAATAAAGCGAGCGTATAAACCCAAAGTTCAGGGTTTGGGCTCTGATCCAGGAGCTGGTAGGGGTTCAGTGTGGATATCTTATCCATCTGACAGAACGTACATTTATGTTGCCATATTTTATAGATTCTCTCAGGGTAATTCTAAATGCCTTCACCTGTATCTCGCAGCTAAATCATCACACGCAGGCATGTCTGAGTTGTAAGTGGGAATTCATGCCGGTATAAATCACTGCAGACGTTTCTGCCTCGACGGTTCCCATAGATCTCCGATTTTATTGTGTCTGGATCCTCTCTCCTCACCCTGCTTTAGCATGGTGAGAGATTTTAGCTTCTGTGTGAGAGGAGGGCAGAACGACATCTGCTGGATGAGTTGTAGAACTTGTCTAAAACTGACCAGGAAAGCAGTGCTTCCCAACATTTTTTTCTCAAAGCCCTCCTTTCTTCCAAGCCGAACTGAGCCTCCCGCCCCACCCCGTGTCCTTTAAAACTTTCATACAAATACAAATTTATAATCAAACATTTAACCTTCACAACAAATCACAACTAAAGCTGTGCTGAATCGAAATCAGCAAATAAAGTATACCACATTAATTTTATTCCTTTAAAACAGCGTCAGTGACACCAATATTAATCCAAATTGTCCAAGAAGCGAGCGATAGCATCTGGCTAATTAACTGCTAACATACAGGCTGTACAGTTTGTGGGTTGCGTCTGACAAAACCCTAAAAAACCTTGGCTGAATTTGAGTATCCAAAGTGGACGTTGGTATCCCAGAATTCGTTGCGCGTCATCGAATTAAACAGGAAACAAAGACAGACGAGTTTTTTTTAATAGCAAAGTTTGGAAATTTATCATAAACCAAAGAATTTGTTTTCAAATGTAAGTTTAGCAACTTAGCTGGTGAAACTTTAGTTGCAATGAGATGTTAAATAAAATGCAGTTACAAGTACTGATACTGGAGCTAACCCCAAACTATTAATGCTTTTTATTTATTTACTTGTAACGTTTTTCTAATAAAACTGAATTTTGTGAAGTTATACCTTTAAAAAAACACCTGAAGCAATGTGATATAAAACATTTCACCATGGTACGAGGCAGTGCATGGTCATGCAAACATATGTCTTCTGTAGACTAGACCTTCGCTTTTTACAGCCGATATGTGGCCGATGTGAGCAACCTATGAATTGAGACAGTCTAAATCATGGGTTCCCAAAGTTGGGGTCGGAATCCCTTTGTGGGTCACAAAACATCAAGTGAGGTCCCCAGATGATTTCCAGACATCAATTTAAATGCTAAAAATTTGCTAATGGAATATTTTCCCCATGATTATTGCAAYTATTTAAAATAATAATCATTAATTAATATAAAAAGTATCATAGTTATTAAGTTTGTTTATATTGTTGTCATTCCATGTTTAACAGATTTATTAGTAAAGTATGCATATGTAAACAAGTAATAACTGAGGTCACGAGTGTCTGCAACTGTTATTTTGTGGGCTGGAAAACCACTGGTCTAAACCCCATAGAAAACTGCTAGCATAATGCTAATCTCTCCAGAACACTCRTGCAGGAAAAACACATTTTCTTGATAGTTTACAACACMAGCATTAATCTACACACAAAATAAGCTTAATATTAYAATAACAAACAACTTACAATGTATTCAACTGTAAACGTAGAATTTTTTWAATGTTTGCTTCAATTTTTGGCGGCAAAGTCACTTCCCGTTTTGGAAATGTTACTTCTGGTTTCACACAAAATCCATCAGTAAATGGAGCCCTCTAGTGGAGTGGAGGGAGTCAGTCCAACACCCCACCTCTACCAAAGCAATAAAACTTCATCCCTTTATCAAAATAAAAGAATAAAGTGAATAGTTAAAAACTTTTATTTGGAAAAGGAAAAAAGAAGAAGAGTTTTAATTATTCAAATGGACTTGTTTTGATGATTTTTCTATATAAACAATAAATTTATATTTTTACAGCCACTGAGCAGACAAGGCTAGTGGCGACCCCTGTGATCTACCCCCCAACGACTGCAGTAAAGAATGAAACATTAATTGCACACGAATTTTCTGTTTTGTCAGAAACAATTTTAACTGTTTAATATTCAGTTTCACATTTTGCAGCATTTTTTTAATAATAAAACTGCATTTAGCATGAATCTCTAGATACCAGCATGCGCAGCGGCTAAAAATCCCTTAGGAC